GATGGAACCCTATCCAAGACGGATAAGCATCACTCGGATATATAGAATCATGAATGGATGAATGCATGAATATGCATGTATGAATGAATGCCTTTATGCACATGCATGTATGAATGCCCATGTGTGCATGCATGTATGCGTGTATATGCTCATGTATGTCTATGTTTGCATTCATATATGAACGCCCAAATGAATACTTAAACAAATAGACCTAATGTAAAAGGCCTTATACATTCTGCCACCACCCAGGGTTAATCACTAACGTGTTATTGGGTAGCAAAACAAGAATCTAAGCGGATAGAGGAAAGAACAATTCCTCTAGAACTGAACTCTGGAGTACTAAATACGATAATGATAACCCACTTAAAACATAGTCCATGACGGCAAGATATTTTTACAATCACGTCAATCAAAGATATTAAGATATAGTATCAGCATTAGGCTATCTATCCATAACCAAAATAGGGATATCTCTAAACATATCCCTAGAAGTCGTCACCCCTCATAAGGAGGTGTCCACATGAAACTTAAAACAAAAATTAACAGGTATATTGGTATACCGAGATAACAACTAGCATAAAATTTAGAACTTGAGCAAGAGCAGGTGTCAAAGCAAAAATTTTTCGAAGACAGTTTAGAATGGATTCCACTACCAAATATCAAGCAATTTTCTACATTAGCATATGTCAGGCTAACTTCAAGAACTCCACCAGGCATAATTTATATTCAGATATCAATCCTCAAGAAACAAAAACAAGTGTAGAATCCAAAACTTGAGTAATAACAGATTTCTAGATAATTTTTCAAGAATAAAAGCAAGTTTAGACAAAGATATTTGGTAGGCTACTTAGCAGGAAAAATTTCACCCATGTGTGAAATACTATCTTCTTTCCTGCAAGAGCATTTGGATATGTTCAGAAACTAAGTGGCATCAACCACAGCCTAGACATTAGCATGACATAGGCACGTATAATATACAGACTCAAATTCCATAAGGATTTCAATTAAAACATGAAAATTCTTGATTGATCATTGTCGCTTCACATCTAAGTTCATTACACGGGCAAACCAAGTTATCCACTCAAAAATCATCAAATATCAAATAGATATATTGAACCAAAATCATAAGATTGAAACAAAAGAAATGAACCAAATTAATTACCATTACGAATGCAAAATAACTCGTTTTAAGTCTGGAACTGGAGCTTACAAGCAAATTCACACACACTGAAATCATCAACAGCTCCAAACACAAATTCCAAATTTATCACTGTCAGCTCAGTTCATTATCCAAACAAAATTTTTCAGAACTAACTCAAATCACTGAGATTTACTATTAAAATCATCCCTTGTATAACCCATCACTCATCTCACCACAGTTCTAAAATCCATTGACTAGCCAAGTCCAAAACAAATCCTAGGTATTTACATAAACCTAGGCTCTCACATCACGAAATCTTAATCAAACCTAAGCTCTGATACCACTTTATCTGTCACGCCCCAGAATCCAAATCCGAGGCGCGACAGACACCGTGCACTCATGAGACGAGTCCCACAAATGCACAAGGCTCGGAACTTATCACACCACAATCTGATACCATCAAAATCTGAAGATCAAATTATAAAATTGGCTCTCATATCATAAAATCTCCAAATACACTCTAACTTACAAGATCATAATTTATATTTAAGATCTATATCAATTACAATATGGCTAGCCTTCTAACTCGTCACTTCCCGTGGTTTCCCCGTCCTTGGTTTCACTTCCTGAAATGGTGGACAAGGAAAAACTATGAGATAAACTCAGTAAGTAAA